CGCTTGGGGCCCCCCGGCTGCTAGTCGTGCCCCCCCCCCGTTACAGCCGCATCTCCCCTCCAAAAAAACCTGCATCCACAAGAGTTTGACCCAAGAATCCCAGCTGCCTCCCCCCACCTCTTCACCCTCCCTTGGTTTTCTGGGCTGCCCCTCCCTAGGAGTTAGCTCTGTGCTGCTCTCCTGTACGCCCAGGGCCCTCGCCCAGCGCTGCCCTGCTGGAGGCCTGGTTCCATTACTTATTAGCAGTCTAGTAATAGAGATGTAGCCGTGTTAGTCTGGTCTTGCTGAAACAAAAGACAGGACTATGCAGCACTTTAAAGACTAACAAGATGGTTTATTAGGTGATGAGCTTTCGTGGGCCAGACCCACTTCCTCAGATTATCACTTCCCCAATTATCACCCCTAATATCATTATCTCATAGACACTAACCTCCCCCCCACACACCCCTGCTCTGCTCTAAAATCTGATTTGTCAATTTCATATGTGTTCACTTTTTTTGATTGTATCCCTTTGGTATATATAGTCCTGCCAATTTTCTTCCACAATTTGATCTGAGGAAGTGGGCCTGGCCCACAAAAGCTCATCACCTAATAAACCATCTTGTTAGTCTTTAAAGTGCTACATAGTCCTATCTTCTGTTAGCAGTTGATACTGTATGGGGGAGAGGGCAGGAGCCAGTGCTGCGGAGAGCCGGCTTAAAAGAGGCTGTAGAGGCAGCAGAGGGAGGAGGTCTGGGGGAGGCTTCGGTGATGCAGCCTCTGTCCAAGGCCACTGTGGACAGGGGGCAGCAGGCCCCCCTCCCTCCTGGGCAGCAGCCTCCGTGTCCGTGGAGAACTCAGACACACCTGGGACCGGGCTGCTGCTACCCTGTGCTGCTGCCTCTCGCAGACCAGCTCCCACCTGGCATCTAGCGCTTCTACCTCTGACAGAGAGGCAGCATCACTAGGTGGCAGGGGACTCCAGCCCCACCCCCAGGGATTACTGAATAGTCAACTAACGGATAGGAATTCATGAGGTTACTTGACTATTCTATTACCCGATAGCTAGCATCCCTGTTCCCCACTCCAAGTTTTCAGATGCCTGGGTCCCCCTCATCTGGCCCCAACTCTCCCCTCCATCCCCCATGTCCACCTCAGGGCTTTCCCTTCACCAGTGAGACAGAGCTGCCAGGGCACTTCCATGCCTGCTGCTGTCCCCTGTCCCCATGGTGTGCTAGTGGTGATGTTGGTGACTTAAATCAGGGGGGCTAGGACATCTGGGTTCTCTCCCCAGTTCTGGGTGGGTTAGAGCAGGAGGGCTGGGGGCCATGACTTCTGGGTTCTCTCCCCTTCCCCATCTCTGCTCCTTTCCCTGTTAAGGTTGGCACCATGCAGGCCCCGGTGGGGCCCTTTCCCGGGCACAGCCTGTTGGATGCCTCTGACCTGCAAGTGAATGGGGACGAGGTGGATGGGCTGCAGGAGGGCGAAGGGTCAGGTAAGTGAGGCAGGGCCTGGCTCTGGGGGCCAGAGACTGTGGCTCTAGCTCCCTGGCATGGCCTGGATGGGGCAGCCCAACCCACCTGGCTAAGGAAGGAACCCAGGTGTCCTGATACGGGCGTTGGCCTGCATTGCTGCTGCCTGTCCCTCATTGCCCGGATCTGTATGTCTGCCTCTCAACACCAGGCTCTGCTGCCTCTGTGTGTCTGGGACAGAGATGGGGAGTGTCCTTGCATTCATCCCTCCCTGACCTGTCTGTCCACCTGTAGGAGGCCCACTCTACCCCTTCCTGGTGGTCTATGACCTGAAGCCACTCAAGTCGCAGGGGCCTGTGTTTGCGAAGGGGGTGCCTGTCATAGCCCGGGTCGAGGGAACCGAGCGCTACACCAGCGGCTCCAAGGTGAGAGAGCAAGGGGCTGGGAGCCAGCACTCCTGGGTTTTCTCCCCGGCACTGGGAGGGGAGGGGAGGGGAGTGGAGGCTGGTGGGTTAGAACAAAGGAGGTGGGCAGGAGCCTGGACTCCTGGGTTCTCTTCCTGGCTCTAGGAGGCATGTGGGGGCTGGTGGTTTAGAGGGAGGGGGGGCTGGGAGCTAAGACTCTTGGGTTCTCTCCGCAGCTGTAGGAGGGAAGTGTGGGCTGGTGGGTTAGACTGTACAAGCCAGGATTCCTGGGTTCTCTCTTGGCAGATCCGACCCAGTACGCTGTATTCCCTGCGCCTGACCCATGGAGATTTCACCTGGACCATGAAGAAGAAATTCAAGCATTTCCAGGAGCTGCACCGTGACCTGATGAGACACAAAATCTTCATAAGCTTCCTTCCCCTCTCCAGGTCTGTCCCCCAACCCCAGCAGCGTGGTCTGTGCCCTAGGACCTCCCAGCCTCCCAGCACCTTCAGGGCCCCGATCCAACACAGGGCTGCTCCTTAGCCACTGTACCCACCTGCTCTTCTCTAGCCTCTACAGTGGCCCAAAGCTGCCCAGGAAGGTCTGGGATTGTAACTCCTGCCAGGCATTAGGGGTGGAGAACAGGGCAGGGGCTGGTCCCCTGTAGGGGCACCAGCTCCCCCTCAGCCCCAGAGCAATGACTGGCTGGCTCAGGGGGACAGGGAATGGGGCACAGGGTCTTTCCCCACTAGGTCTCACCATGTCTCTGATTCCACACTCTCCCAGGTTTGCTATCCAGGGCTCCCGGGCAGAGGCCACGTCTCAGGAAATGCCCGCCCTGCCCCATGCGGGTGAGGGCACTTCAAGGCGCCCTTCCAGCAAACAGGTACAGGGCTGGGGTGGGGGGGAATGCTGGAGGGATTGTTCCAACAGCTGCAGGGTTGTGGCCAGCATGGGGGAACTTGAGGGGTGGCTGGGGAGCCCCTGTGTGGATTCTGGGAGTTCCAGGACTGCTTTAAATCCATGATTTTAAGCCAGATTGAAATCCATGATCAGCAGCCCCAAGCAAAATCACCAGCGTGTCACATTTGGGCCTTCCCGCACAGCTCGGCCTGTCGGAACTAGCCAGCAGAAGACACTACAGCTACACACATTCCTTCCACAGTTACCTCCCTCACCTGCCCTTCTCAAGAGTTTTAATTTTCTGCTGGAATTCTTCAGTTTTGCCTTGTCACCCGTTAACCAATGGTACCCACCCCACTTGTTCCTTCTGAGTGACTAAGTCACATTTTGCTTGTGATTTGTAATGAAATTCCTGTCCATTAAAAGCATTTGAATGAAGTTTTTAATTAGTCAAATGAACCAGACTTGAACACAAAAAAAGAAGAAATGCGTAATGTAATGCCTGAGTTTTTCAGCATATTCTGAATTTAAAAGGGAGCGAGGGACCCAGGAAAGTAGGATCTGGAGTTAAGGAAGTGAATTGATTGTGTTGGATTTTAGAGCTAGGAGATATCCACCTGTTTTTTTATGTGTCTCTGGGAAGGGGAAAGCTAATGTCTCAGCTTTTTCACCTCTCAGGTACTTCTGTTGAGAGTGGCTGAAATGAGCTAGTGGACTACATGGGACTAGGGGAAACCAGCCCCCTGTACCTGTGCAAGGCTGATGAAGGCAGGGTTGCTCCTGGGCCCACAGCTCCTGCCCACTCTGCGTTCCGGGGCCTGTTCACATGGCAGATGTGGTTGTCCGGACTCGTCCACTTAGGAACAATTAGTTTCACACATACAGAATGGGAAGTGACCAGAGGTGGAAGGAAGTGGGTGCGCCCTGGTGCACAGCTCTGGCAAGAGCTGGCTGAGCTGTGGCAAAAGCCTGCAGGGAGCTATTTAAAGAGCTGGCAGGGACCTAGGTTGCAATAGGACAGTACCTGTAAGAAATTTTAAGTTACTTTTACCACTGAAAGTGGTGAGGAGGGGACCTGGCTCCCCCATCAGTGTCTAGGAAGGAGTACTGCAGAAAGAGGTTGAGGTGTCATAGTGGACCACAAGCTAAATATAAATCAACAGGGGAGATATGAGAGAGGTCTGTAAAATCATGACTGGTGTGGAAAAAGTGAATAAGGAAAAGTTATTTACTTATACTCACAATATAAGAACTAGGGATCACCAAATGAAATTAATAGACAGCAGGTTTAAAACAAACATAAGAAAGTTTTTCTTCACTCAGCGCATAGTCAACCTCTGGAACTCCTTGCCAGAAGATGTGGTGAAGGGTAGGACTTTTAACAGAGTTCAAAAAAAGGGCTAGATCGATTCATGGAGATTAGGTCCATCAACAGTGTCCCTAGTCTCTGTTTGTTTGGAAATGGGTGACAGGAGAGGAATCACGTGAGGATTACCTATTGTGTTCCCTCCCTCTGGGGCATTGTTTATATTGGTCATTGTCTGCAGACAGGATACTGGGCTAGATGGTCTGACTCAATGTGGGCATTCTTATGTTCTTAGTGTGACACTGTTGCAAAAAAAGCAAACATGATTCTGGGCTGCATTAACAGGAGTGTTGTGAGCAAGATACAAGAAGTCATTCTTCTGCTGTACTCTGCACTGATTAGGTCTCAATTGGAGTATTGTGTCCAGTTCTGGGCACCACATTTAAGAAAGATGTGGAGAAACTGGAGAGGGTCCAGAGAAGAGTATGTCTACACTACCCCCCTAGTTCGAACTAGGGGGGTAGTGTAGACATACCCAGAGAGAGTAGTAACGTGGCATTAACTTGGGAAAACACCACAGACAAAGTTCATAAGCAAACCACGAGTAAACACCCCAGCTCAAGTAGGCTGGGCAATATCCTTTGCCCCTCAGGCTCACAAGTCCAGCAATGTAAATGTCCCATTCACATGCCCAACTCTTCTTTGTACCCCACTCTCAGTTGCGGTCCTTGGTCAGGACAAACTAGAGTTAAGAGGTGATCTGCAGAGCTCACCTCCCATCGTGGGGTGTGGGTAGAAGGCACCTCACCCACTCCGCTGGTCACTTGCCATCCACCTGCTTGCTGATTTTCCACGCCACTTTGCTAACCACCTGCCGGCCACTCACTGCTTGTTCCACGGGCCACCTGCCAGCCTTTCACTCCTGCCAGCCATCCTTTTGGCTGCTCCCATCAACCACTGTTTCTGCCAGTGGCTCCATCTTTGCAATTTCAGTGTCTCTCCTGCAAGCACTGGTGGTCATGTTTTATAATAAGACATGATCTATGAGGGAAGAGTGAAAGAATTGGGTTTGTTTAGTTTGGAAAGAAGAAGACTGAGAGAGCGGTTTTCAAATGCCTAAATGGGTGTGACAAGGAGGAGGGAGAAAAATTGTTCTGCTTGGCCTCTGATGATAGGACAAGAAACGATGGGCTTAAATTGCAGCAAGGGAGGTTTAGGTTGGACATTAGGAAAAACTTCCTGTCAGGATGGTTAAATACTGGAATAAATTGCCTAGGGAGATTGTGAAATCTGCATAATTGGAGTTCTTTTAGGAACAGGTTAGACAAGCATCTGTCAGAGATGATCATTCTAGATGATGTTTGGTCCTGCTGTGAGGGCCGGGGACTGGACTTAGTGTTCTGTGGTTCTATGAAAAGCAGGGGGAATTGTGCCCTTAGCCGGTGAGGGGAGCAGAGACTTAGGCCAGAGGGAGACCTTTGGAGGGAGGAGGATATGGGGAGCCCTTGCAGGTAATGTGGGTATGTGTGAAGCAGTGCGGGGTGGCATGGCGGGGAGGGCCCAGGCCAGATTCCCTCTTTCAGTGGGGAGGGGCTCTCACTCCTTCCCTTGCTCCCCACAGAAGTACCTGGAGTCCTACCTGAATTCCTTGCTGGCGATGTCCTTCTATCGCAACTACCATGCCATGGTAATGTACTGACCCCATGCGGCTCATAAAGAGGGGACCTGGCTCCCTGGTCAGTGTCCCGGACTCAGGGGCAGACTGGCCTGGCGGGACACCGGGAATTTCCCGGTAGGCCAGCCGAAAGGCCGGCTGGCGGCTGTTGGAGGAGGAGGGGGATTGTGACAGGGCGCCGCAGCCCCGCACTTTAAATTCCCTGGCGCCGGCCATCTACAGGGCACGGTGGAGCTGAGGGAGCACATGTGCGGCGTGCTCAAATGCCACGCAACAGCTGAGAGGGGAGGCGCCCAGGCGTAGCGTGACGTCACAGCCTGGGACGTTAAAACCACGCGGCCCAGCTCCAGGCCCAGCAAGTGGTCTGGAGCCCCGGAAGCAGCTGGGGCCAGGGCTGCGGGGACTTCTGGGGCCCAATCACAGACTCCAGCACTGCAAACTAGAAGGCAGAAGGTGGGGGTGGGGGAGGAAGGGGGAAAAATAGGGGGAAGGGGGGGGAGAGGAAGGGGCTTGTGCTGAGGGGAGGGGGCAGGTCAGGAGAAGAAAGGGGAATGCACCAAGGGGCAGGGTGGAGGAGAGACAAATGCCAGGGGGCCAAGTGAGACAAGGAGGAAAAGGGCAGGAGGGGAGGTGTCAGTGGGAGGGGGGACAGGGTGATGCTGGGAGAGGAGATGGTAAGGGCGGAGGTGTCAGTGGGAGGGGGGACAGGGTGATGCTGGGAGAGGAGAGGGTAAGGGCATTCAGAGCTAGAGGGGGGAGTAACAGTTAATTCGAATTAAGGACTTCGTTTGAATTACCATTTCACTGCTGCGTGTAGCCGCGGGCAGTTACTTTGGACTAGTGGAATTTAAAAATGGCGCCCGGACGGGAAGATGCAAATGAAGCCTGGGATATTTAAATCCTGGGCTTCATTTGCAACTTCGAATGCCCACATTAGCCTCCCAAGTTCGAATTAGGGGGCTAGTGTCGACATATTCTTAGAGGGAGCACTTCCCCCAGCCTCTCCGCTCCCGCGTTAATGTCACACACATTGGGTTAATGCAATTGCAGGATAATTGCATGAGGCGGGTTCGGGGGAGGGGCAAACGAATCCCTATTGATAGGAGGATGGTGGGAAAAGTCCTTAGAGAGGGGTCATGTGACACCTTTTACTTCTGGCCATGTGTCCATTTTGCTCCGAGAGTGTTACCTCCAGAGGCTTGGCTAATGGGAGTCAGGGGATGTGGCTAATGGGGGCCAGGGGCGTGGTTAACAGGGGTCAGGGGTGTGGCTAATGGGGGGTCAAAGAGGAAATTTACAAAAAATTCTTTGATTCTGTTCTCAACCCATTTCCCAGGCCTATTTTGATTTCCAGTCCAGCCCTGCCCAGACTTCTGGGTTCCACAGGTACATTAGAGCGGGGGAGAGGGGAGGGTGAGTAGTCAGGATGCCTGGGTTCTCTCCCTGGCTCTGGGAAGGGAATGGGGTCTGGGAGTCATAATTATTGGATTCCATCCTCTGGCCACCTCAGTTTCCCCACCCTGTCTGGCCTGGCTCTGAGCACCTCTCCCCTGCAGGCGGAGTTCCTGGACGTCAGCCAGCTCTCCTTTATCCCCGACCTGGGACCCAAGGGCCTGTGAGTGCAGTTCGCTTTCTCTGCTCAGGCACCTTGCAGCCTGCTGGCCACCAGGGCAGCCACTTATCGGGGGGCCCTGAGCTAGGGGCACCCCAGGGAGGGTTCCCACACATGGGAGGGGAGTGAGTTGTGGAGGGAATTGGCTACTGGGAGCCAGGAGTCCTGGGTTCTCTCCCTGGCTCTGGGAGGCGACTGGGGGCTGGTGGGTCAGAGGGAGGCCGGGGTGGAGCCAGGACCCCTGGGTTCTCTTCCTGGATGTGGGAGGGGAGTGGGGGCTGGGCACTGGAAGGGCAGTGGGGGCTGGTGGGTCAGAGCGAGGGTGGGGTGGAGCCAAGACTCCTGGGTTCTCTCACTCCTGGGTTCTCCTGCTCCCCACTGACCCTGGCTCCCGCTGCAGGGAGGGCATGATCCTGAAGCGCTCTGGTGGACACCACATCCAGGGACTCAATTGCTTTGGCCACCACCAGATTTGCTACCGCTGGTCCAAGAGGTGAGTTGGGGGCAGATTTGGGGGGGGGTCTACATGGCCCCCTCCCTGCTCACTGGCCCTGCCCTCTCCCCTCCCACTCCCAGGTGGCTGGTGGTGAAGGACTCCTTCCTGATGTACCTCAAGCCGGAGTCAGGGGTTGTCTCCTTTGTGCTGCTCTTCGACCCGGGCTTCAGTGTCCGGGTGGGGAAGAAATCCACCGACAGCAAGTATGGGGTCCGCGTCGAGAACAGTGCCAGGTCCGGATGCCTGGGTTCCCCTCAACATAGGGGAGGGGGAAAGCTGGTAGTTGACAATGGGGTGGAGGGCTGGGAGCCAGGACACCCTGGGAGGGGTGTGGGGGCTGGTGGGTCAGAGCGCGGGGCTGGGAGCCAGGACTCTTGGGTTCTGTCCCTGGGAAGGGGGGGCCGGTTTGTAATCCCCTCTCTCCCCCACCCCAGGACACTGATTCTGAAGTGCAGCAGCTACCGGCAGGCACGCTGGTGGGGGCAGGAGATTTCGGACCTGGCTGAGCAGAAGGGCAGGGACTTTCTGCACATGCATCGGCACCAGTCCTTTGCACCTGTCCGCGAGGGAACCCCTGCCCGATGGTGAGGGGGATGCCCACTGTGGGGAGGGCCATGCCTGACGCGGGCACAGAGGAAAGTGGGTTGTATGGGAGGAGGGGACAGTGACACTGGCAGTTTTCACTGCCAGGCACCCGGTGGGTAAGGGTATGTCTACACTACCCTCCTATTTCTAACTAGCGGGGTAATGTAGGCATACCGCAATTGCAAATGAAGGCTTCCTAGTTCGAACTACCTAGTTCGTGCCGCGTGTAGCCGCGCTGCACGGGGTTCGAACCAGCCGGGATTTAAAAATGGCGGCGCCCGGCTTATGCAAACGAAGACCGGTAAATTCAAATCCCGGGCTTCATTTGCAAGTGCGGTATGCCTACATTACCCCGCTAGTTAGAAATAGGAGGGTAGTGTAGACATACCCTAACAGAGTGTGGGGAACTTGGGCGGGGTATGAGCTCTGGGGGAGGGGGAGGACATTCTGGGGGGAAGCGACCATCCAAGTTCCCACTCCCACCCCCTCACAGGTTTGTGAATGGTGCTGGGTACTTTGCGGCTCTGGCCGATGCACTGATGCAAGCAAAGGAGGAGATTTTTATTACTGATTGGTGGTGAGTGACCCCTGCTGTCTCCCAAGCTCCACTCCTCACTCTCCCTCCACGTCCTGCCCCTCTAGGCCCTGCCCCACCTCCGCCCAGTGTTCAGGCCCTTGCCCCATCCCGCTCTGCCCCAAGCACCCACGCCCTGCCTCCCCCCACCTCCTGGATCCTGGCTTTCACACACACCCTCTGCCCCATAGGTGCTGCCTGCCCCCCCAGGGCTTTGTTCTCTTTGCCCTCTCCACCCTAAAGCCCTCCCCCCACCTTTTCCCTGTGTCCCCTTTTAAACCCACTCCTGGGACCCAACCTCCTGGGAGTGTGCTGGGCCCCTGCTGATCAGCTAGCCTGGGCCCATGGGCTCCACCAGTCCCTCCAAGGTCACCCAGGGCACTTTCCCTCCAGGAGATCCTGGCCGTCCCAACTCAGTTGAGGACACCATAGCTGGATGGGATTTCAAGGGGCCATGCTGGCCAGCCACCCATGCTGAGTCAGGTCCCATACTGCCAGCCCGGCCCCTCAGGGCATTTGTCCAACCTGCTCGGAAAACCCTCTGGCAACAGGCACCCCCTGGCCTCCCAGAGCCGAAAACCCAGCAAGCTCTGCCCTGCTCCATGTTACCCTTGTCCTGCCTTTCAGGGCCCAAGAGAACAGTAGATTCCAACCCCCTCGGAACAGCTCCTCTTTCTGAATGTCCCCAGGGGCCCTAGGGCAGGTTTTGATCCCTTGGAGTGGCCTCTGCTCCCTGGTTTGTCCCCAGCTCCCCCAGTGTGTGGGGCACCCAGAGCTGACCCCAGCTTCCAAGCTGGGCAAAGCACTGCCCTGAGCTCTCTGCAGGGAGCCGGACAGGGCTTGGAGCAAGGCCAGGTGGGTGGGGGTCAGGGCGTGAGGGGGGAGCAGCCCTGAGGATCCAGGCACCTCTCCACGCCCCTGCAGGCTAAGCCCCGAGATCCATCTGAAACGCCCAGCGCAGACAGACGACTGGCGCTTGGACATCCTCCTGAAGCACAAGGCGGTGAGTGGCTGGGGGGTGAGTCCCTGGGTGCTCCCCCCACCTCCTTAACGCCCTGCCTGTCCCCACAGGAGGAGGGCGTGCGGGTCTGCGTCCTACTCTTCAAGGAGGTAGGGCTGGCCCTAGGCATCAACAGCGACTACAGCAAGAGAGCACTCATGCTGCTGCACCCCAACATCAAGGTAGGGGACTCAGGCATCTGGGATGGCAGCACGGGGGGCTCACCCCTAGGGAGGGGGAGAGGACCCAGGACAGTAGCAAGGGGGGCTCACCCCTAGGGAGGGGGAGAGGACCCAGGACAGTAGCAAGGGGGGCTCACCCCTAGGGAGGGGGAGAGGACCCAGGACAGTAGCAAGGGGGGCTCACCCCTAGGGAGGGGGAGAGGACCCAGGACAGTAGCAAGGGGGGCTCACCCCTAGGGAGGGGGAGAGGACCCAGGACAGTAGCAAGGGGGGCTCACCCCTAGGGAGGGGGAGAGGACCCAGGACAGTAGCAAGGGGGGCTCACCCCTAGGGAGGGGGAGAGGACCCAGGACAGTAGCAAGGGGGGCTCACCCCTAGGGAGGGGGAGAGGACCCAGGACAGTAGCAAGGGGGGCTCACCCCTAGGGAGGGGGAGAGGACCCAGGACAGTAGCAAGGGGGGCTCACCCCTAGGGAGGGGGAGAGGACCCAGGACAGTAGCAAGGGGGGCTCACCCCTAGGGAGGGGGAGAGGACCCAGGACAGTAGCACGGGGGGCTCACCCCTAGGGAGGGGGAGAGGACCGTTACTGTAGGCCCTGGAGCTCCCTGCCACAGAGGTATCTCTAAGCTGTCCCTGCCTCCCCCCCCCACTAGGTGATGCGCC